GGGGGAAAGATGTCTCAGGTACGAATGCCTCATGTACGAACACTCCAGAGTCGTTAGCGCTCTCCGACAATGAGAATGTAGGAGAGCCCCAAGGCTGAAAATTGTTTAATGTGGATAAGGCTCCATCGGTAAATCTTTCACCTCATTCTCCTGCATGTCGTCGTTTCAAGCGACGCTGTAAAAAACAGGCGCGTTACAAAGATTGTGTTCCTTGATGATGATGATATGTGGAGTTTAACGTCCCAAAACCATCATATGATTATGAGAGACGCCGTAGTGGAGGGCTCCGGAAATTTTGACCACCTGGGGTTCTTTAACGTGCACCCAAATCTGAGCACACGGGCCTACATTTCCGCCTCCATCAGAGGATGCAGCCGCCCCAGCCGGATTCGAGCCCGCGACCTGCGGGTCAGCAGCCGAGTGCCTTAGCCACTAAACCACCGCGGCGGGGCTATGTTCTTTGAGCATATTCCTACATTTATACATGTGCTAACTATTGTATATAGCTGCTTTGTTTTGTGATTTGCTACAAGATATTTTCAACTGTTGTGCTAAATTGTCATGCACACCAAAACAATATTGCATTTTTACTAGTATACATGTTACTATATGTCAGTTTCAGTGCCTTGCCGCTGTGTAATATTCAAGACAATTGTGATTGCATACAGTGACACTAGTTTTGTATAATTCGCGTTCTCTTGTACAAGTACACAAGAGTATACATCTTACACAAGTACACAAGAGTACACAAGAGTATACCAGAATCTTGGAAAAATGCTAATATCATCTTAATTCATAAGAAAGAAGACACCAAGGACATGAAAAATTACAGGCCGATACGCTTACTGTCCGTTCTCTACAAACCATTTACAAAAATAATTGCTTATAAAATTCAGGCGCAAGTGACATTAGAGTTCCATCAACAAAAGAACGAAGCAGGATTTCCTACAGGCTACTCAACAACCAACCAAATTCATACTGTGAAGAAATGGACACTCGGAGGCCGAGGAAGGGCAGAGGAAAAAGGACCCACTTCTCACTTTAACGAGGTCTGTAAGCACTACCAGCTGCGGTGTGCGAAATTGCCGCTTTCACACCAACACTATCTCCGTTTATTTATATCTATCTCCGTTTATTTGCCTAAAATTCATAGACGGAATGACCTATGCTGTCCGCGCTGTGTTCATCCGATGTGGACCTTTCAACACATGCTGTGGCTGTGTCAAGACTTGCGCGAGGGCTCAGGGTCTCCCTCTACTGAAGAAGACTGGCTCCAGCTCATCACCAGCTCCAAAAAGTACCAGCAGCTAGGGGTGTCCATAGAGCCCGTGAATTCGACGAGAGCCTGAACATCGTGGCGCCATCGTGGGTAGGGCCCCCAGACGGTACTCTCTGACGGGGGCATTCTCGTCTTCCCTATGATCAAATAAAGTTCTCTGACTGACTGACTGGCTGGCTGGCTGGCTGGCTGGCTGGCTGGCTGGCTGACATTCGCGAGGAGCGATCAACGAGATAAAGTAACAACGACGCACGTCCGTGGGAAAGCTGCTGGCAACGCACCCCTATCGACAAGCCAGCGCTACCTTAAGATAAAATAATTGGCCCCCAATCTGTATGTTTCACTCCGAATGTCGTCGAAAGACGATAGTCTTGCGTCGGCAGAGAGTGAACACAACGCTTATTTCATGTTCTGTGCGAGAAAACGGTGAATTTTATTCTAGAGACGCTGCGTTGGAGCATCTCGATTTAAGCAGCGAAGGCGAACGAGCGCATCGAGGCAGACACGAGCGCTATCAGGCAGTTATCTTCGAAAACGAAGGAAGTCGTGCGCGCCTGTCTCGGAGGCGATAAGGTGTAGAACGCAAAGCGACGGGCAGGTGCCACCACTGTGTCGTCTTAGCAAAGCGTTGGAAACACTTGCCTTTTTGTGCATATCGTTGCATTTTCAGCCATCGTGATAAACGCTACGGCCCTTAGAATCACTTATGTATGCCTTCACTAGTATAAATACACACATACAGAATATTGACGTGTTGTTTTTATGCTTCAGATAATTGCTTTTAATAATTGCTTTTACAGCGAAAGTTGTTATGAGATCACAACTCTGATCTCGCGCAGCACCGTAGCTATCGACCGCCGGTGTCCGTAACCACATCGGTGTTTTTTTTAAATTCACAATTACACAAGTATGAACGCTTAAACTTGACCAATAATGGTGGGCGCTGCGGATGGGTTTGAATTTAAGCCGTTTGGGGTAGCGTTTCGGCGGACAAACAGAGGAATTGACCGACAGACAGACAGACAGACAGACAGACAGACAGACAGACAGACAGACAGACAGACAGACAGACAGACAGACAGACAGACAGACAGACAGACAGACAGACAGACAGACAGACAGACAGACCAAAATTTTTGCGTTGAAGTACCCCAACAAATGCTATCGTCTTTAAAGGATAAATTACGTGCCGTTACCACAGCAACCGGCGAGGCCGGCGGCAACGCCAGCGTTCAGCGAGCGTCGCGGGTCTCTGTGCACAGCTTCATGCAGCTTCTTTAGTTGCTACACTCGGCGACAACTTTTCTTGGCGCTGAGAGGAAAGCTACGGAGGCGGAGAATCTGCACTACGCGAAGTCGTTCATAGTGGCGCGCATCCCGTAACGCAATGGAAAGTGACGGGGCGCTCCAACAGAGTTTCATGTACACGCAGACGCCGCTTAGCGTTTGAGCTGCACGAAAAAAAAGCGGGACTTTCTCGCACGTCCAAAAACGCAAAGCCACAAAGAAAAAGGTAAAAAAAATACGACTATCTTAATGGTGGGAGCTGCGTCCTGTCTGAAGTAGCTCCACGTATTAAATAAAGGGGGAACTTCTATGCTTCACGGTGAAAACACGGGCACTGTTGTGAAACTACATTCACTGGCTGCAGGATGCCCGTCATTTGACTCTGTCGCCTTTGCTCCAATGCCAAAAAAAGTTTTTGCCGAGTGTTGCGTTCCCCAACTGGCGTTTATCATTCCCGTTTGCAAAATGAACTTGCGATGCGGTAAGCAGCCATGCAGGAAATCTGCCCAAAGAAAACGTCTACGTGCTCCGTTAGTGGTCGCCAGTCAGGTTAAACTCTACGTGCTAAGAAAAAGCAATTTTATACCAAAAGTGGCGCGTCCATCAAGGTAGCCGGGAAGTGTCCCCACCTAAATTGGTTGTACCTTACACCGTGGCCTGCCTTTAACATCGTTCCCCACTTACAATGGGAACCGGCCAAAGGGAAGACACGTTTTTCCCTGGCCGGGCAGCGGTGTTGATAACATGCCGCGAGTAGGCGACCTTAGACCAAGTTTGGCGTCCAATCAGTCATGAGTCAAAATGTATGATTAAGCGTGAACGGTGCTTCATTGCCGCAAGCTCGCTTATACCAATGCACAGAAAACGTTAAACTACTAGCCCACGTTTTACCTTCGTGTTTTACCGATTCTGATATTTCTAGCGGCTTGCAGTTGGCGATTCGGGGTAATTTTCCGGGATGACTCGTAAGCGAGAAAATACTGTGAATAGCACCTTCTTTAATTCACACCTCGGGCGCAGGAAACGCGTTCTCTGCCTCGGTGATGAATCGCACAGTGTGCTTCTTGAAATGCCGCACGCAGTGGCGATGTGAGACCTGCTGTCCGCTTTCTCTGTAGAGAACAGCAGTTGCTTCACTTGAACGACATCGATGGAGCTTCAAAGCGAACGGCCAGCTACGGTGGGATATTTTAGGGGAAAGCACGTGACGGAGAGTGGTAGTTTCTACTCACTCCGCATAGAGCACTCCTGTTGTCACCGCTCGCTCTCCAGAATGCATGTGGAAAACGACCCCCTTTTTAAAGAAAAGCCGAGAGGTAAAGTGAACTTCTCGGAGCGTTTCGTGTTGCCTCATGTTCGGTGTATCAACTGTTCCAATTATTTTTGTTTGATGCAGCTGTAGATAATAGATAGTGTTTGTGTTTGATAGTGTAGATAGTGTAGATAGTGTTTGAAATTTGCTTGACGTGAATATTTCAATCTACCCCAATTTGATGTAGTCGTCTTCGACTGTACAGCAGTTCCCATTTTCCTGGCAGACCTGCAAGTCTCTGAAAATTCAGGAGCCCTTATCGGGCAAATGGGGCAAACGCAGCTTATTGCGTGCGTGTCTTTACTACCTTTATTTATTTATTTATTTATTTATGTATTTATTTATATGTGTGTATTTATTTATGTTTCGAACTTCCATGCCGGGAACTCGACCCCCATTCTCATGCCAACCAGCGCCACACCTCGACTGCTTTAGGCAACAACGACCGCCATGCACTCTCGTCCTGGCCACGAGGCCCGGAATCCAGAAAGCATAAATTGTTGAAAACTGCGCACATAAATACGCACGTGACCAGCGCACCCAGGGCCGCGATTGTATTCGGCACCGGGTTTATTGCATACGACGCCACCACCGAATACTGTGAAAGCTTCGCTGAAATGCTTATTAACAATCTCATAGTCACCGCATAATGAAGCGTAGCGGAGAGAGGTAAGTAACGCTCGCTAACTCGTCATGTACGCAAGTAGTGACCTCTAAGGTTGAAGACTGGGCTTGTTGGTATGTTATTACTGTACATTGCCTGGCGCAAGTATCAACGGGTCACAAGAACAAAAAATACGCACACGATAGAGCGATCAAGAGTGATAGCAACTGCTACTAAACCTGAGACGTCAAGCAGTAAGTGCAATAAGGGGAGACGTCATCGAAAGGTGGTTAAGGAGGTAATAAATGCTGCCGTTACAACCTTTCCCACTGACTCTCTTTAAGGGCGTACCGTGATGTCTCCATCGGCGCGTAGCACAATTAAAAAGGCGGATTCATTTACAGCTCCTCTATTGTATGGGACAACTTCCTACCTGCTTTTGGATGACGTTTCCTCGATTTTGTTATTATGTTGCACAAGTTCAACAGAAGTGTCGTGCTTACTAATCTTTCATTCAGTTGCTGAACGGCGGTGGGCAGCTACACCTAAGCAACGTGCTAGCCGTGGGCGGTGAACCTTCCGATGATGGTGACGAGAAGACGCTCCTGCACAAGTACATGGCTGAGAACGAGGCCCTCAGGTAAGCGCGTGCCGCAATGAGAAAGGAAACGGGCAGCTCTCCAGCAATGTCGCTGTCCTCTTCGGGTTGAAACAGCGGCTTTAATAACAAAAATAAATGTTGGTGCACTCATACAGGCGAAAGCAACGGAGGGTGACTGGAGAAAATTGCGCTACAATTGCTGCGGAAAACGATGTTAGGGAGAAAACAAAAAAAAAGTGGACAAAACAAGCACAAACTATCACCTCAAGCAATGGAACGATGATGATGACGATGAAACTTTATTTACTTAGCAGAAGGATCCTCCTCCCCTTTAAGGCGAGGGAGGGAAAGGAGCACACCTTGACGACGGCCATGATCCCATCGGCCTTGGCGGCGTCGTCCGCCTGCCGTAATAAGCGGGCTTGTAATTGAGAGTTAGAGCATAGTAGCGTGGTATTCCATCCACTCCCGTCTGGAAATGCGCTTCTCATAGGGGCCTGCGGGCATGCCCATAAAATGTGGCTCAAGTCCGCCCTGTTGTTGCAAACTCTACACTTATCCCAATGAAGTTCTGGCACGCAGTGGTTCATTGTTACCGGACTAGATTCGCCTCATATTCCCGGACATGTACAGAACCAGCCACTGCCGGTGCTGCGGCACTCACCCGGCTACGCTTCCGCACATTCTGTGAGAGTGCCCGGCACAGTACAGACACACTAACGCCACGACCCTTTCGTCGAAGCTCTATGAGGCTCTGCGGAGCATAGCTCTTTACGACCAAACCTGGGCGACCCAGCACGCCCGTGAGGCAGCGTCGCGGCAAACCTTGACGTCCCCTCATGGGAGGCTTAGGCCCGGCCACCTAAACCTGCTGGTTTCTTATAATAAAGTTTATTCCTCCTCCTGTGGATCGTGAGCCGTTACGCATACATCGTTCATTGTAGTTTCGCTTGATCGGCGACCCAAGGCCATGGTCTCTCTATTCAAGCGATAGCCTGCGATCGCGTCTTTAAAGAATATCAGAACTAGTCTTGATCGCCCATGAAAGAGATTGTGAGATTGTGTAACACAGGCGAGTTATTTAGATTCCGGCTCAGATAATATCTGTTTATCAGTTTTCAGAATCGTCGATGCAGTTACACTACTATCACTCATACGATGATCCAGACAACATTTAGTCGCTACCGTAACGTTCGATCACAGCCGAATGCCACCACACGAAGCAAAATCGTAGTCCAAGGTTTCCGCCTAGCAGATCATCTTGATCTAAATAAAGTTTTTCTAGATTTCGATCATACCCTGTGTGCTCACTGAATACTTCCGAATGCGCATATTGTAAGTGAACGTACCGCTGGCAGCTAAAGTATTCATGCCCCTAGCTTTTTTGTTCAGAAGCTCGGCCTGTACAAAATTGTTCTGCTGCTTGCGATTCTACACTGTGCTAGGTGGGGCTCGTCATGGGAGTAGTGCTGGTATTGATTTATGCAGAGTTGCTATATATCAGTATATTGAAATGAAGATGATGGTGTTTTTATCACACTGCACAGAAAAAAAAGGAAGTGTGGGACTCTAAAACAGTATCCCAGCATGAACGTTCAGGCACGTCTTGTTTTGTATGCATGCTTCTCTCTCCCCGATTGGACGCAGTGCGTACATGAGCACCTGTGGCGAAAACGCTTGTACACAGATATCAGTACGCAGCATCCAAATAGGGCACTCTACACGACTGTCACATGCTTCTTACCCAACTAATATACCACTTGCATTTTAACACACCATCGCTAGCTGTAGTACTGGCCAGAATTCAGAAAAAGTAAAGGTATTGTAAACAGAACTGCAATATATGAGTCAAACTATATATCCATGCGCAAGCTTTCAGCGCAGTCCCGAGCACATGTCACCTCTGCAGCAAAATGCAGCACTCGTGTGGCCTTTTTTTTTTTTTTTTGCAATACCACACTGACTCATCGCATGCTTTTTGCCCGCTACGAAGGGCGATACTGACTGCATCAACAACGTTGCACTCCGAGCAGTGAAATCCGCGAACAGCTGATTTTTCTGCAGGATGCCCGCCCGTAGCGCGGACCGTGCCAATACGCAGCTAAAAGCGAGTACCCATGCTGCTGTTTCTTGTCGGATTTAATATCTGCGGTTGAACGTATCGTTTGCATCAGTTTACTACAGTGAAATTAAGCACTCACGTGCATTTTTTACGTTCCAATCTATGTTTCCGACTCGGGTGAAGGTGGCTGGTTGGGCCTCGATTTCCTGTGCAGCATCATCGGCGCTGACATCGTTTTCGGCCGTCGTTCTTACAGTGGCGACTGGCTCAAACAAGTATGGCTGAACAACGAACTCCAACGAACTCATTACGGCTTACAGAGTTCGCCATACTAGCAGCAACTACCCGATTTCAACAGATAAACCCATGGCCACCGGCTGCCGGCGAGCGCAGTCAACTGCCCTCGCCGTCCCGCGCGTGGTGTCACGGAGCTTCGACCAATCACAGGAGGCGGTGAGACTCGCGATGGCAGCCGCTGCACCTTTGTCTTGTTTTTTGGCAAAATAAAGGTATTTGCATTGGTTTGTGCAAATTTCTGACTTGACTTTCAAGTTAGTCTCAAGAAATTACGGATCATCACCATAACTTCGTTCTTTTAAAGAAAAAGTGTTTCAGTGCCGCTTTAACGTACGTAGGTTAAACCAGTGGTTAAACTGCAACCGCCTGTCTCTATACTCTGTTCCAGAAGTTCCGTGCAGAACTGTGGAACCTACAGGCATTCTCAACCAATCAGGAGGGCGAGCACATCTAAGTGTATTCTTCCGCACCCCATTGTCTGCTAGCGACGTGCGCTGCAGCGAAAGTGGCAAGGGCTTCTCGGGACACAGTGCAACTGCGCTGTGAGATGAGCTAATTATGAAAGCGGTTGAATGTGCTCTTTGGCTCCGTAAAAGCGCGCGTCTTCAAGATACTTGCACGTAGACACTTTAGGGATAGGGTTCAGTGGCTCGTGCTTCGGTGGACAGCACCGCACAAGCGAAATTGAATGTGAAAGCACCACGCTGCATCAGATTTCGTATACGCATGCGTATGGACATGCGAACTGCCGCTCGCGTTCGATACGAAATGATGGCTCTATTCCCGGTGCTTTACGTGTCTCTCTCTGCGCGCTGTAACAGATCGCGTCCTAATACGCTCCGGATTTCTCGCTAGGCGTGCAGAATTCGCTCCGAGGAACTCAAGCTGAAAGGTTTTCGGTGTGTCATTCTTCCTTTCCGGTGCTGCAGCTCTCGCCAGATCGGCGCACCCCGTCCCCAATCTCGTCTGACCGTTTCCATCTTTCCTATCTCTTCTCAACTTCCGCGTGCGGGTTCTCTTCTTACTATCACCCTCTATTTTCTTCATATCTCTTTCACTTCCCTTCTCCCACCCCATCTCTCTGCCGACCTGTTGAGGGTGTAAAGGATGGGGGACTACCCGGTCTCTTGTGGTAGCGTGGTTAAACCGGGCGGAGGAAACGAACGCTGACAAGAGGATACGGAAAACAAACAAGGTTTATGTCACTAGTTACACATATTTACAGAAAAGAAGGGTTAGGGGTTTCCCAAACCACGAGCGTGGTGGTTGAACGTTACATAGTTCAGAGCGACGTCCAGCACTCTGCGGCGTCGTTTTAAGCCCTGTCGGGCTCCTCCTCTCTGAGTGGAACACCAATCACATACACACAGGTGAGGGGGACGAGCATGCACGGTCCACGTGTACACTGCACTGCAAGGTGGCGCCAGCAGGGCTCTTCCTCGTCGTGTGTGTGCCGCTAGTCGAGAGGTCCCACGGTCCTGGCAGCACACTTCAAAGGGTCCGCAGATTTTGTTCGCTCAATTAGCGGGGCGATCCGCGGTGGCCGCCGCGGACTCTTCCAGGAATACGCCGTCCCTGTTGTCCTCTTTCGTCGTGGCGTCGCGGCGACACGACGCCTCATCCTCTGGCCAGCAGGGACAATGCCTGGCGGGCATAGGCAGTCGGCCGGTCGGCTACTTAACTGGGGATTAAAAAGGAGCGCCGCTCTCCTGTCAGCTCTGGCGCCGGTCACAGAAGCTTCCCGGTCGCCAGTGAATCACCGAGGTCATCAGGCACCACTGCTGCTTGAAAGGACGACAAAAGGGTCCGCATTTGAAGGACGGGAACTCACCTTTGCTTGCTGCTTGGTCTGGATAATTGCTCAAATCTTCGACAGCGTCTGTCAGACTGGGCGCCGAAGGGATTGAGAGCCTCCCCCGTGGACTAGCTTACGCACAACTGCGACTGCCCAGACGATTTTCCAGGCCAAACTTAACAAGGGACAGTTACGGGTCGGCACATTTTTCTTCATTTCTTTTTGATGACCGCTTGGAGAGAGGAGTGCAGAATCGCGCAGTCTGTAAGTAGACCCCAATAAAGGACGCGCAGCGTGCGTGGTGCCGCTGCCTGGAACGTTAACACGGGGCGCGGTGCACTTGCGATTGTGATTGATCCTGAGTAATCAGGCTGAACGGCTATGAAAGCGACCTGCTCGATACGCCGTGCAACACTGACTGTCTCGAGCTGTGTGCACTTAGTACTGCACTTGTCACTTAGAACACTTGTTTGAAAATTTATGTCCGGAGTGTTAAAATATACGCGTAATGTGTGTACTGTGCTACCAAATCGTGCCGATTCATGTGATGCAACAAGACACCTGGCTTCATTTATATATTATGAGCAGTCACTTGCATGTGGGCAGTGCCATAAAACTTAAGTGCCGAGGTTCGGTAGAGATATGTTCATTAAATAAATAAGGTTTGCGAGTTGCTCTGCACGACCCGTAGAAAATAATTATTTTAAATGCAGCAATTCTTCAAGAAAACGATGTCCATCTGCCGTCTTAGGCCCACATTTTCGCCCATGGCGGACTGCTTGCGATTTTTGTACTACAGAAGCTTCTCGTGTGGTGCTCTTTCTTCTTATAAACTGCGTGAGTACACTGTAACAGGAAATTCACCTTTTGGATTTGGACGAGTTG